TGTGTAGCAGCAGATATTTCAGTTGTTGAAGTAGAAGTCAGGAAAAGTTTGCTTCATTTTCTCAGTTTACGTCCAAATTGAGCACAAATTCCGACCTGATTTGCAGAAATCGGTACGTATTCTACATGTAAACAGCTGTTTAATGCCATTAAATCACCATTTCCTGCGTTTCCATTGTGTGAAACACACTTAATGTCAGAGATAAATTAATGTTAAAGAGAGACATTTGATATTCTCCTGTTAACAGAAATACACGAGCGTGTGTTTAATGTTTCCTCTGCAGGCCTGAGGCCCAGCCTGTGGGTAAACTGAGAGGAGATTACATTTCTCTTTGTTTTGTTAATAGAAGCTTCAGTTTATATTTAGACTCCTCCGCCCAGGGTTAGCTTTAGGCTCTCCCTGACATGTTGTGTCAGTCTCCTGCTGCTTCCTCTTCCTCTTCCTCATCTCACGTTTCTCCTGCATTTCTGCAGAAACTCTGAAACCTGATCTGCAGGAGGAGATCTGCTGTCGATGGAAAACCCACAGAGCTGAGGTCCTGCTGTTGCCTCCTTCTACTCGGGGTCGTCCAGTCCAGAGTTAAGTTGATCTCTTTATATTCACACCCTCAAACGTGTTTATGAAGCAGAAACAATCCTTTCTCTGTTCCTGGCTGTGCCGTGTAGTGAAGTAGCTTTGACGTCCAGCTGTCAGGAGACTCATGAACCACAACAGATCATTCTCCACTCGCTAACGAGGAAAAACTAAACGTAAACGAGCAGCAGCTGAGTTCAGAGACTGTGTGTTTATACCACGAGGACCTTTACAGCGAGAATAAATCACATGATTTAAATTCCTCACAGAATAACGAGTCCAAGCTCTTCTCTCTCAGGGAGCCAGTAAACTGTGCTGGACCAGGCATTCAGATAAGTGAGACGAATAGTGGACGGTAAAAATACTCTGTTTGAGGAAAAGTCCTCCAGTCAAAGTACGTAAGTATGATCAGTAAATACTGACAGCTCTGTGAGCTTAATTTAGATTTCTTGCCAGATTGTATGAAATAATAAAACTTTACTTTAATTTAACTTTAACAAAATAAGTGAAGGTTTATTCTCTACCTGCAGGAGTTACGCTCGTTACGGCTTCACTCTGTGAAGAAGATTTATATGTATTTATATATGTTTTATATGTGTTTATATGTATTTTTTATTTATTTTTATGTGTTTATATGTAGTCACGTCAGCGTTAGACATTCAAATGGAAAGTTCTATGCAGCTGTTTGGGATTAGTTAGTTGTCTGCTTTCAAAAAAACAAACTGCACCCAATCCCGAAAGCCTAAAGAAAGACAGCCATTAGTCATTCATGTACTTGTTAAGTGGTATTATTAATGATTAGTACATGTACTACATTATTACATTCATGTACACAGATGTTTTTATAACTGCAGCCGCTCTTCTTCTTTTTAAAATCTCACTGAGACTAACTGGATGAGTTAAAGAAGAGAAACTCTGAAGGGATTCAGAACAAGTTCCTCTCTAGTCCTGGTCTGAATGTTTGTGTCTGTCCGATGCTGGTGATCCGGTCTGGCTCTCGGTCTGTGATCCAGTTCATCCTAAAGGTGTTGGATGGGGGTCAGGTCAAGTCCTTTCTTTTCCTTCTCTGGAACTACAGAAAAGCGTATTGGACATATTTTAGTTCATGTGTGATCAAAATAATCCTGAATATGACTCAGAAACGGATCCACATTGGTCCATCTCAGTCCTGTTGGATCTGGATTCTGGTGTTTCAAACGTCCAGGTTTTCTCCAGGAGGGTCAGTGGAGTCCAGGATGAAGACCTGCCCACGAGTCTCCTGACGGTCTCCTCTTCACCTCCTCAGAAGTTCAGTGCGGTGTGGGCGTGACCTTTCTCCTCCCAGGCCCCTCCTCCCTCGCCTGAGGCCCCGCCCTCCTGGAGGAGGCGTGTCAGGATGCTGAGGAGGCGCTGGTGGACGCTCTGCATACGTTGACGCGCCTCTCCTCCACCTTCACCTCCATCCTCCTCCCTCTCCTCCTCACCTCCGTCTGTTTCTGAACACTCCTGCACCGCTCGCTGCAGCTCCACCTGTTGGTCGGAACAAGAGAGAGAACCACCGACGCCTCAATTTACTCTCATATTTCACCCCGTTGTTGATTGGGCAGCAGTCTCATACCGTTTGGTGTCTTCATGAAACACACCAGGCTGTTAAGTCTGCTTAGGGAGGACGATGGACGGGTCAAATAAACACCGCAACTTTCACCCAGGAGGCTGGAGTTCAAGTCCCAGATGACACCAAGTCAACGTTGACTTACTTTACCGTAGTTTTGTTACGTCGGCTGACTTATTAAACCTGAACCACAATCTTTTCCTCAACACAAAAAAGTACTTCTGTTGCCTAAACTTAATCAAGTACTTCTGTTGCCTGAA